AGCGCTAACTCCTTGGCCTGGTAGTCACAATCCAGTGCTGTCCCACCTTTCCAGTTTTGGCTCATGCTGCACCCTATCCCCGCCACCCCTAATTTCATCTCTTGGGTTCTAATATGTCCCTTGAAACTCAGCTCGAATGCCACCTGCTCCATGAAGCCTTCCCTCATTCCCCTCATAAGTGATGAACTTTTCTCCAATGGCAATCCCATGCTGTGCTTTGCCCCCTCTTTAATAGACTCATCAATGTACTTTTACGTGTTCTAGTTATCTGTGTTGGTGTATTATCTTGCTAGTAGACTGAAAGCTCCATAAAGATGTCTTAACTTTATCATCGCCTTGCTCTAAGAACAGAGCTCTGCACACTGCAAGTACTTCATGTAGGTATGTGGAGTATTTGCTGATGAATAAATGCCTCCCAACTGATTGATACATGAATTAATGTAAGAACCAGCTGACCAGCTGGACCAGAGTCCTCCCCCAGGACCTGCAGACTTATTGATACAACAGTCTTACCAAGACTGATGTTGGGAGAAGAGCCAGGAAGGCAGAGTGGAGAGAGGGCTGGACTTGGTATTCCAAGGACTTGGGTTCCATCCTGCCCTTGACAATGACCTGCTCTATGAACCCTCAGAAATTTAGAGAATCCCAAAAGCTCAGAATTGGGAGGAACCTCAGAAGTCAATCCCTTATCATCTCTGAGTCTCAGGCAACTCCCTAGTTCTTATCTCCCAAGTCTTGGTTGGGACCCCCATGCTTGGGAAATCACAAATTCCTGTAATCTGAGTCCAGTATTTCTTCTTTTGCCCAGGTGGACGGGCAGCTTTTCCAAGCGATAGCAAGAGGGAACCAGAAGACAAGTCCCAGAGATAAAGGGCTATGTCTTCATTAGCATACCCGTCCCCTCCACCACTCCTCACCCTAAACATACTCCCCAAAATAGAGAGAGGGAGACAGATGGTGTGGGCAGAGTGTGGAATGTGGGGTGGAGTCTGCCAAATATCTGCTTCCAGCCTGCTTGCATAGCTCAAGCTAAAATCATTGGGGTTTGGGCAGAGTAAATCTCTAGCTGGGCCTCTCTCCTCTCTAAGAGCTCTATGTCTACATCTGGGAAGTTCCCAGAAGGAGGGGGTTGGTCTAAATCACCTCTAGGGTCTCTTTAAGCTCTCAATCCATGACAGCATTCATGTTTCCCCTCAGTCTTCTCCTTGTCGAGCTAGACAGCTCTGGCTGGCTCCTCTGTCTGAGATTCAGAGACTTACACTAAATGGAGGAGGCTGTTCCAGCAGAGGGTTCTACCAGGACTCCTTACCTTCTGGATTTTGCTTATACATCACACTGAGACCTGAGGGTCTTAGTGGACCTCAAGCTTAGCACCATACAAAAGTGTGATATACTAGGTTAAAAAAAAAAAGCTAAAGCAGTATTAGGCTATATTAACAAGCATAGTGTCTAGATGGAAGGGTGTTATATTCAGTTCTGCATGCCATTTTATAGGAATGGTATTGATAAGCTGGACAGAATCCAATGACGGGCAACTTAGCCTAAAGACTGTGTCATATAAGGAGTGGTTGAAGGAGCTGGAGAAGAAAAGACTGGAGGAAGACAGGGGTCCTATCATGTATTTAGAGCTGGAAGGGATCTGACGGGGATTCCCCTTCCTTCCACAGACAAGAGAACTGAGGACTAATTAAGTGACTTGTCCAAGGTCACACGCAGAGTAAGTGGAAGAGCCAGTATTTGAACATTGTTCAACTCAGACTTCACTGATCTTCCAGGATTCACAGGGTTGTCAAGTGTGAAGAAGGATTGGCTCTGTTCAGCTTGGCCCCAGGAGGCAGGATGGGAAGCCATGGGTGGAAAGGACAGAGAGGCAGATTTCAGATCAATGACATCTCGTTTCTAAGGCACATTACAATTTACCAGGCTCTTTTCTCCCACCAGCCCTGTGAGGGGGGTAGCGCACCATCATTCACATTTTACAGATGAGGAAGCTGAGGTCGCCCAGCTAATACATGGCTGAGCCAGGACTTGAACCCAGATTTTCTTGTTGTTGTCTGTCCTTCCTTCTCACCAGAGCGATGCCTTCACTTGCCAAGTTCAAGGCCTTTTTCATTCCCCAACACTGCCTCAAAACAAAGGGTTCGAACACATTCATAAGCACCTACTGTATACCGGCCCTACCTGAGATACGGACAGATGTGGCCCAAAGACAAACAGGAACCAGTCCCTGCCCTCAAGGACAGACAGCGCATACAGCGGAATGACAGCCAGGACATAGACTCCTTCCAGCGGTCGATAAATGGAGGCATTTGTGGCTTCACATACAATCATTTTCTTTTTCTTATTTGTGCTGGAATGTCTTCCTGCTGAGGCTTGCCAAGTTCAGAATAAATGTAAAAAGACAATACTCTGGCAGCCTGGAAGCATCATATCAATCACAGTCGTCATTATCTTGTTGTCTGGCACGGAGTCCTGCTCAGGTAGGGATCATGCTCCTCGACCTCTGGGCCCTCTGCCCACTCCACAACCCACAAGCCTGCCTGATTGCACCCAGGCCATGAGCTCATTAAATACTGATTCTTCTCTTTTACTTCCCTTCCTCCTCCAGTCTTCCCCTAGACAGTTTCCAGGGTAAAGAGCCCCTCCTCCTCCCTCCTTGGTCTCACACTAACGGGATTAGCTTCCAGCTGGGTGGTCTTGGGTGTGGATTGTGATTTATAGATTCTAGGCAGGTGGTCAAGCACTGACTCGTGCCTTCCAGGCCATAAAGGACAGATTTTTCCACCAAATGGCCACACTTCATCACAACATTTCAAGTAGTCAAAAAAGAGTAATAGACAAACAAAATATAGCCAAAGAGAAGGTTTTCTGGGCTGCTGCCCTCTTTGAGTTGGGGTGGTCTGGGCTGATTTCTCCCCCATCTAGTCCATGGGATGGCCATCTTCATTACCGCCAGCCCTTTGGAGTGACAACCATTAGAAACAATTTTACTTTAGCTGAGTAGAAATTGGGTTTATCTCTGTCAAATCCTTGTGTCCATCAATGTACATTCTTTCTAGCTGGGGGGGTGAGGGGGTGAGAAAGTGGGGGAGAGACAAGTTCAGTGGTGGTTCAGCTGCTGAGGCTGCAGGTCATTCTCACTATCCAAATGCCCTCTTTGATATATACTCATCGATAAAGACTGTACTTACTCATTGGCAACAAACCCTGACTCCCCCTACTCCTAACTCCCAGCTAGGACTGACATTGAAATCTAAAAGGCACTGATTTGGGAGCTAGAGAACCTGCCAAGACCTAGCAAGGATTTCACTTTCAGGCCCCATCTGGTGTCCAGATATAGCCTGTGTCTGGGATTCAACAGCTGCCCAGAGAAGCAGCCTAGCTCCAAGTCGAGTTCGATGTCCCAAGGGATGGGCGGCAGCAGCATAAGCACAGATTGCTTCCTGCGGCGGTCCCTGGGGCTTTATGCACAACTCATTGCATTTTTTTAATCCAAGTAAAGCACTCTGGTTCATGGAACTGGTGGGATGCGGTGGGATTCAGAGGTGTCAGAGGCAAAGGGAGGGAGAGGAAGTAGAAGGAGGAGGAAGAATATGTGAGCAGAGGTCTTCAGAGTAATATCAAGGGAGAGAGGAGGTGAGGAAAAGACAGAAGGCAACTCCTTCCTTTGCAAAGGTAGGGGACTAGAGGTGTGGAATACTGCATACAAAGTCAGACCCTCTCTGACATAAGAATCAGGGCTTCTTCCTCTATGTCACATTGCTTCCCCACTTCCTAAGCCTGGGGTGGGACAGAGCATGGGTTCTATAGCCAGAGGACCTCAGACACTACCCATGTGACCTTGGGCAAGTCACTTCACTCCTTAGATCTCAGTTTCCTCCTCTTTAAAATAAAGAAGGGGCAGCTAGGTGGCACAGTAGATAAAGCACCAGCCCTGAAGTCAGGAGACTTGAGTTCAAATCCTGCCTCAGACCAAACAGTTGGCACTTACTAGCTGTGTGACCTTGGGCAAGTCACTTAAACTCCTTAGATCTCAGTTTCCTCCTCTTTAAAATAAAGAAGGCAGACAAGATGGCCTTCTGGCTCTAGATCTAGTCTCCTACAATTCATCTGTTGAATTCCCCATCCTTGAAAGTGCAATTCACAGGCTACCTCCTTTCTCGATCTTTCCTCCTCTTCCCATCACCCTCCCTGTGAGCGATGTCCTATTTTCTCATGGCCTCACCTGGTTTTTCAGGCGTCTAGTGCCCTCATTCCCTTCCCCCAGGTAGAATATAAGTTCCTGGAGGGAAGGATTCTCACTTTTGTCTCTGTACTCTCAGCATCTAGCACAGAGTAAGCAATTAATAAATTTGTACACTTACTAGACAGTAAGCTCCATGAAGGCAGGAACCCTGCCTTACCTAAATTTTCCATCATCCCCACCTCCTAGCACAGTATTCTACATGCAGCAGACACTGAATACACATGAATGAATGAATGAATGAATGAATGAATGAATGAATGAATGAAATTCATGAAGAAGAGAGATGGCCACAACAGAGGTCATTCCTCAGTCAGCCTCCGTATACATTATCTACTTTTTGCTCCAGGTACCTGCCACTCCAGCTCCTGACTCTGCTGTCCCTATGACTGAAACGCTCTCCCTTACCACCTCTGCCTCCGGGTTCCCTAACCTCCTTCCAAGTTCAGCATAAATGCCACCTTCTGCAAGACACCATTCCCATTTCACTCTGCCCACCACTAGTAGCTGCCCTCTGAGGTTACAGCTCGTATTTACAATTCTTCACATATTGTCTTCACAATTCAAACGTGAGCTCCTTGAGGGCAGACTAGGAGACTAGGCTTTTTTTTGTGCACCCAGCACTTAACACAGTACCTGATAGACAGTGAGTGCTTAATAAATGCCTACTCAGAGAATGACTGAATGATGACTCTTGCCTTGCCTTGACTGGCTGCAGACCCCTCTCCCAGCCCCGAGGTAGGTGGGCCTCACTCACTATGTTCATGAGGGTCAGGACGTAGTTCTGGACATGCTCCTTGCCATGGAAGCGCACCACTGAGTCGTCCACAGCCAGCAGCACTTCGATGGTGTAGTCACCCGGCTTGGCATGACGCCGCTTCCGCTGGGCCTCTCCCAGTTGCTCCGCCACTGAGCCTAGCAGGTTGGGGAGCTCCCTGGGACCAAAGTATGGGACTGCAAAAGGGGAAAGGCTGTGGTCAGGACAGCATAAGACTCACACACTCAGGACACAAATGAACACACACACACACACACAAATGCACACGTATACCCATCCTGAGTTCTAGATCTGCCAAGAGTCCATGCCAGGAGCCTTCCTCTGGGCCAAGCAAACACAAGGGCTCAGACCCACTTCTTGGCCTTAAGGTGCCATACATATCTCTGAGGCAATGGGATAAACTGCAAGGGACTCTGGGATAAGAGCCAGGACCCTAGGTTTGAGTCCCAGCTCAATCATTAATTTACTCTATGACTTTGGACAACTCACTTCCACTCCCTGGGCCTCCATTTCCCTATTTATAGAATCAAGGGTTGAGCTAAATGGTCTCAAAGATCTCCTCTGGTTGGCACACCCTGCCCTAAAATTATCTTTCCAGACTCATGAAACCTTACTCTCCTTCATACACTCTGGTTCAGTGAACTGGCCTTGTTGCACCTCACATAAGACATTCCATCTCCTGTCTCGATTTAGGTGGGAGGGAAGGGGAGGATGTCATGGAAGCCAATCATTTTTGTTTTCATCAGCAAAAGAGAAGCTTGGCCACCAGGTGATAAAGGTTTTCAACCACAACAATGCACAAAGTCTAGAGTGGTTCCCTACTGCCGACCAAGGAAAGTTCAAAATTCTTAGCCTGGCACTCAAAGCCCCCTACAATCTGACACTACTCATGTTTCAGCCTTAGCTCCTATTACTCCTCAAGAAATACTATTTGAAGTTCCCACCAAACTGGACTACTGAATTTTCCCACCCAGGCTCTTTGCTCACTTTTTTCCCTATGCCTGAATGTCCTTCCTTCATTTCCCTTTCTACTTACTGAATTTCTGCTTGTCCTGGAGTCCAAATCAAATGTCAACTCCTCCATAAAGCCTTCCCTAATCCCAATTTGGAAACAACCTTCCCCCTTGGACCACACTTTATTTTTGTGCCCTCTTTAATGCATTTATCAATCAATCAACAAACATTTATTATCTACTATGTGATAGGTGTGGGGAATACAAAGATGGTATCTAAGACATCGGGTACTATAGAGCATTAGAGGTATCTAAGTATGACTCATATCCTCCTATTGGACAGTGGGCTCCATGAGGGTGGAAACTTTGTCTCACCTAAACTTAATAATCCTCCTAATGCTCTTCAGAGGTCTCAGCACACAACAGGGACTTTAATAGTTGGCAAAATGAATGAACATTGAGTGGCACGCTCCAATATGCAATGGATTGGTGTTCTCATCCATTTGGATGTTGCCGTGGCTGATTCAAGTCACTACTGATCCATGCCTAACCATCCTTCCTGATTCTTGTCCCTGCCTTCCCTTAACTTCACTCAAGGGCATCTACCCAACCTGCCAGAGGTCCTCCTCACTTCTCTTGACCTTACAAGGGTACCCATGGACCTCTGTCATATGACCCACCCATCGTCTTTCAATCAGACACTCCTTTGATGACATTCCTGACTCTGATTCCTCAAAGGTCTCTGTTTGGTATGTGTTGCTGGCTGCTCACACCCACTATCTGCTTCTCCCATTGCCTTCTTGACCAATGCTCATGTTTAAGTTTTCAGCAACTACAATGTTCTATGACCAGCAGGTATAAGACAATGGTAGAATATTGTGACTAACAAAATAGGTCTCTGTTGACTTGATAAACATAGGTACTTACTAGGTGCTTGTTGAATGAGTGAATGAATGAACAAATGAAAGGGCTATCTACTAAGGCAGAGAGGACTCGCTATCCACTGGTGAATGACATCATGGCTCTCCGAAGGGCTGAATTAAGTAAGCTTATTCATTCTGAACAGGACTACCATTAAGCTATCTTTGGCCAGAACAAATGTTTCTCCAGGAAGGACTTCTCCGGCGTGGTACATTCCGGACATGGAGTGTTGAGGGATGTGGAACACACCCACCCTGAGCAGCCAGCTGCTTGCCCAGCCTGAAGCTCCTCTGATAATTGCTGACCAAGGGTCCCCCTCTGGATGCCTGTCAAATTCCCTAATCCTTTGGCTGGGGAATGCACATGGCAGAGAGGCCCGCGCCCTTCCATTTTTTTGGCAGCTGACCCACAGGAAGCCTCTGACTCCAGCAAGACAGAGAGGACCTACAGCAAGGAACTCTCTGACCCAAGTCAGGAGCTAAGCACAATGGACAGTGGCTAAGGTCAGGATAGGGAGAGAAATCTAAGGATGCTCCCCACTCTGGCATTTTACACTCTAAGATACCCTCCAGCTGTGACGTTCTGTTTTCTAAGGTCTCTCTGCACAGCTGGGTGGTGCCATAGTGTATAGAGCGCTAGGCCTGGGATCAGAAAGAGTTCAAATTTAGCCTCAGACACTCACTAGCAGTGTGACCCCGGGCAAGGCCCTTAACCCTGTGTGCCTCAGTTTCTTCATCTGTAAAATGAGCTGGAGAAGGAAATGGCAAACCACGCCAGTATCCTGCCAAGAAAACCCCAAATGGGGTCATGAAGAGTAAGGACAGAACTCAACGATAACAATGGTAAAGGTCTCTCTAAGCTCTGCCATTCAATGTCCTCACATTCCTCATAGCTCTGATATTCTATACGGTAGACTCCTAATAGTAATAACTAGCATGTATACAATGCCTTAAGTTTTACAAGTCACTTTAGAGGCATTATCTCATTTCATTATCACAACAACCCTGGGAGATAGATTATCCCCATTTTACAGATGAGGAAACTGAAGCAAACAAAAGTCGAGTGACTTGCCCAGGTTCACACAGCTCGTATGTGTCTGAAGCAGGATTTGATCTCAGATCTTCCTGACTCCAGGCCATTTAACCTCTCTGACCTCAGTTTTTTCATCTGTAAAAGGGGGCTAATAGTGCCTGTAGCACTTAACTCATTGGGTTGGAGTGAGGCTTAAATGTGATTGTGTCTGTTAGCACATCACAATCTTTAAAGTTCCATTTAAATGTGCACCATCGTTATTCAATTTGTTAACATCTGTAGAGCAGAGGGGGGGTTTGGTTTTTGGTTTTTTCTTGGTTTTGTTTTTGGGTTTTTGTTTTTTTTACCATGGAATCTACCACCTAGATAGCTTTGAGGGGGACCCATGTTTTTAAAATATTTTGATAACTATATTTCAATGTTAGTTTTTTTGGTAATCTTCTACATTTTATTTTACACATTAAAAACACAATTTCTTGAAGAGGTCCAGAGGCATCACCAGACTACCAAAGGTCCGGGGCCCCAAAAGGGCAAGAATCCCTGAGGATCAGCGAGGCCTGTGGCCTGCACATCAGAACATTGACGAGAGGCCTCCCCAGCCAGAGTTCCCTTGTTCAGCCCAGTGAGCAGGTAGCCCGACTTTCATGCTGAAAGGACCGCAGGTGGGACAGCTCCAGGCTCCAGCTCCCTCAGCAGCTCCAATCAAATTAATTCAGTGAGCATTTACTAAGCATCTACTGTATGCCAGGCACTGAGCTAGGCACTGGGTACACAAAGACTAAAACTAGACAATCCCTGCCTTCAAGGAGTTTACACTCTATGGATATAATCATTCATTTTTCTGCTCTCCAGGCCAAACATCCTTGGTTAAGAGCAAGATTTAGAGATAGAAGGGACTTTGGAGGACATCAAGTCCAACCCTCCCCTCCCCCCATCCCCTCCCTCCCCCATACTGGAGATGAGGAAACTGAGGCACAGAAAGAGTAAGTGATTTGCCCAGGGTCACCCAATGTCTGAGGTAGGATTTGAACCCAGATCCTCCAGGCCCTATACCCTCCAGTCCAGAGCCCTATCTACATCATGCCTTCAAACAATCCTTAATTGGCATGGTTCCAGACTCCCCCCCACCACCATGCTGACTACCTTCTTCTAGATTCTATGGATACTGTGGATAGAGCACTAGGCCTGTAATCAGAAAGACCTGAGTTCAAATCCAGCCTCAGACATTTACTAGCTATGTGACCCTGGACAAGTCATTTAACCCTGTTTGCCTCAGTTTCCTCATCTGTAAAATTAATTGGATAAGAAAATTGCAAACCACCCAAAAAAAAAACAAACGGGATTACTAAGAGTCAGACACAACTGAAATGACTGAACAATAACAAAATTATCCTATGATTTAGGGTCAAAAGACTGGGCTTCAAATCCCAGTCTTGGAGGCAGCTAGAGGACATGGTGGATAGAGAGCTACACCTGGAGTTAGGAAGACCTGAGTTCAAATCAGGCCCTCAGACACTAGCTGTGGACTCTGGACAAGTCACTTAACCTCTGTCTCAGTTTCCTCATCTGTAGAAAGGGGGTAATAATAGCACCCACCTCCTAGGATTGTTGTGAGGAACAAATGAGGGGATATTTGCAAAGAAATTGGCACAAAGCCTGGCACATAGTAGGTGCTATACAAATGCCAACTATCATTAGCATCTTCACCATCATCAATTTGTCAATATCCTTCCTAAAATGTGGCATCTGGAATTGAACACAATCTAGATGTGGTCTGACCACAACAGAGGACAAAGAAGTTGTCACCATCCTCACTCTAGGCTCAGTTTACATTACTGTAGCCCAAGAAAGCAGTGGCTTCCTGCAGCTCCCATGTCCTTCTGTTGGCTCATCTTCAGTCCAAAACCCACCATCAAGCCCCAATTCCCTGGATCTCATATTTGTAGGCACCTAGTCTTCTGTACTAGAATTCAGATGCTTGGAGTAACACAGAGACTTTCTTTCATCAAAGCACCAAGTCTTTATAAAGTACATTACTTAGCTGATGAGCAGACTCCAACCCCATGGCCATGGACCTCAGGGGAATATCCCAATTTGTTCAGATGTGGAGAGTCTTTTTCAGACATACAGGGAAACCACCAGGAGCCCCCAGTGAGAAGGCTTTGACTCAGCAGAGAACATTGAAGATAGCTAGACTCTAACCTAAATTCTCTTCTGGCAGCCCACCCCTCATCTCTAACTTTGGCCTAAGGTTCACTCCTCTTCATCAGTATCGTCTTGAAAATAACTGAGCCCGAGGCATGGGAGTTCAAGAAATTCTTTCCCTATTTTTATCTCCCGCACTTCTTTCTAAAGAGGTAGCAATGTAGGCTGGTGGCCAAGTCTTTGGCAAATTCAAAAACAGTATCCCCTGAGCCCATAACTCCAAGTTCAGAGTAGGATGGAAGGCAGCAGTGGTCAAATGAGGAGGCAGGGGAGGAAAAGATCCCCCTTCCCCTAGACCCCAAACCCTAGTTTAGCCCAATGGGACCCTCTTCTCTTTGTCCTCTATTCCTAGAGACCATGGTATTAGGTGGTTGGTTTTCCATCACCGAAGGTCATAGAATCATCCAGAGCAGGAATGGATTTTCAAAGCCTTGGATTTTACAGATGAGGAAACTGAGACCTAAAGTCAGACGGGTAGTGAGTAGCAGGATTTGACTTCTAAGCTCAGCAGTCCACATTCAGCACTCTTTCTATGCATCATTCAAGCACAGGCTGAATGACCATTTGTCAGCAAAGGTGTCAGAAGATTCCTCTTCAATGCAATTCAAAGCATTGACTGAGCACCGACTATGTACCTACCAGGTATTGTACTAAATGCTGCAGATGAAAAACCAAAAAGGAAACAACTCCTGTCTTCAAAGATTACTTTCTGCTCAGAGGGGAAGGGAGGGAGGCAACATGTGCTCATCTAATTAAACACAAAATAAATACAAAGCAATTTAGGTCAGTCCACAAGAATTTATTAAGCACTAATTATGTGTCAGACCCTGGGCATACAAAGAAAGACAAAAACAACCCTTGCTCAGGGACACATTAGATTACTGACGTAGACAGTCCCTTCCAGCTCAGAGATTCCACGGTTCTATAATGAGAATATTGTAATAACAATAATACTAGCTGACATTAACATAAGCTCAAATTCCAGAGACAAGGGAAGACATGCTTGGAGTCAAGAGAGATTTGAATTCCAATCCCATGTCTGGGGACTTATCAATTTTGTGGCCATGAACAAGTCCTTTCATTTCTCTGAGCCTCAGTTTCCTCATCTGTAAAACTGAGATAATAGTTCCCATAGTATCTACCTCACAAGGTGGTTGTGAGGATCAAATATAAAGTCAGAAAATATAATACAAATGTCAGCTATTATTATTATTATTTTATTACACAGCATTTTCAGTTTAGAACATGCTTCGTACACATTATCTTCTCTGGGTTAAATCTTGCCTCTGACAAGTCACTCAACTGTTTTGTGACTTGGTTTCCTCATCTATAAAATGAGAGGGTTTAAATGGCCTCTAAGGTCCCTTCCAGCTCTATATCCATGGCCCTATGTCCCTCACAACTACCCTGTGGTACCATAGGTATTATTATGCCCATTTCCCAGATGAGGAAACCAAAGCACAAAGAAGTATGAATTGTAAGAGTTAAGACTCCAACCCAGGTCTTCTGACTCCTGAGTCCAGGACTTTCTGCCCTGGGTCACATCACCAGGATCACAGCTCCCTCTCCCCAGAGGAGATGATGGTTTGCCCTTTATGACCAGAAGGGGACTTAAACTTGTCTAGCCCCAGGAGGTAAACCCCCAAGTCCCAGTTGGGCTCTAAGCCTGCATACCACCCTCTTGGAAAAGTTCCAAAGGGATCCCAGCCTGAAGAGATAAGACCAGTCCCTCAGGACTCCCCCTTCCCCCACAAACTCAAAGACCTACCCCACAGCCTCTGAACTTTTATTAACAGCTCTTCAAAAGCAGCTGGTGCCCTGTGAAAGGGCTTCTATTTTGAGACAATTGAGCCCTGGGGTTTCCATGAGTTTTCCAATCTCATCCTCAGCCACTCCCAAGCTACTGGTTTCAAGAAAGAGCATGCCTGTTCTAGAAGATCACCATCTCTCTATATAAATAAATCTTCACACCTTCTTCTGGCCCAAAGGCACCTCCTAGCCAGGTTCAATTAGGGGCAGGCACTTGGCCAATGGCTGCAGAGCAGAATCAACTCTAACCATCAAGACCACTGAGATTGACAGTTCTCCAAGTGATCCCTTGAAGGATCCATGAGCCTGTTTAGGGGGATGATCAATTCTCACCAGCCAAGATTAAAGGGATGAAGGACTGTGCAGAAGGTAGAGATGGAAGAAGACAAAAAAGCAAGGGCCTCCAAGACAAAGAGAAGGGCCTGCACATTCCCCCAAAACATGGAGGAGAACTCTGTGATGAGTAGGACAGAGCCTGGTACATAGTAAATGTTTGTTGACTGACAGAATATTTATGAACTGATGATGGGAAGAAGGCTGGTATAGAACAGCAGCAGGGTTCAAATCTTGCCCTTCATTTTACAGATGAAGAAATTGAGGCCCAGGGTGCTTAAGTGACTTGTACCATACCATAATCCTAGTAATCATCAAGGTCAAGATCTAAACCCAGGTCCTCCAAACTCTGAATCCAGAGCTCTATCCATGGTGCCATGTAGCCTACTTCTAAATTCTGTACTGAACCCAACAATCCGAAGAGTGGGGAAAGGAAGAGATCACTAATGGGAGTGATGTGTATTGGCCAAGAAGCCTTTGTTCCAATGTGTAGTTGTGGATATTCTCCAGGTCTGTTCAGGTCCCTCAAAATATAATAGTGGCACATAGAAAGAATTAACATCTGGATAGGACGAGTTCTACTAGGTACAAAGAATACTCTGTGTGTATGTGTATGATGGGGGTGGAGAGGAAAGGTGGTGAGGGGATAAACAGGGAGAGAAAGAGAGGGGAAGGGAGGGAGGGAGGAAAAAAATAAAAAGGAAGGAAGGAAGGAAGGAAGGAAGGAAGAAGGAAGGAAGGAAGGAAGGAAGGAAGGAAGAGAAGGAAGGAAGGAAGGGTGAGGAAGAAAGGGAAAAAGAGAGAAGAAAGAAAGAGGAGGAAGGGAGGAAGATAGAAAAAAGAAAGAAAGGGAAGAAAGAAGGAAGAAAGAAGGGAAGACAGGGAGACAGAGAGAGAAAGATGTCATCTTTAAAACGGCCATGACTAGTGACATGAATTTAGCGTGACTAATTATTCCCATTTTTCAGATGAAGAGACTGAGGACCAGAGAGAAGAGGCCCATTGCCTGAGATCTGTCCCCAGGGATGTGGCAGTGCGGTCCGGACCAGGGTTCAACAGCCTGCCATCGAGTGGCAGAGCCGGTAGAAGAAAGAACACAGACTTTCAAGGCAGAAGGACAGATTCAGACCCGGTCTGTCACTAACAAGCTGCAGGGCCTTGAGCTCGTCACTCCACAGGCTCTCAGCTTGTTTTTCTGTCAAGTGAGAATGATACTAACGGCACCACCTACCTCACCCCTCTCCTAAAGATCAGATGAGCTGATTTCTATAAACCTGAAAGCCTACAGGGCAATCAGCTGTTACTGATGCTTTCTGCTGCAGCCCATTTCCTCCCCTCAGACTCCTCTCCCAGTGGTCCTACCTTCATTGTGGAGGTCTCCCAGGGGCTCTGCTTTCTCCTGCCTGATAGCTACCCTGCGGTAGACAATATGCACCCGCCCGGTCTCCTCCTTTGCCTGCTGACCCCTCTCCAGAGGCTCGATGAAGTATTCGCTGCTGTCGGTCCGGATTAGGCCAGCCTGAAGACCATGGGTGCAAATCAGGGGGAGGACGGAGAGGAAAAAAAAGTTAACATCTAAAATTTACAGCATAAACACACACGACATATACACACGACATATACATACGACACATGTTCTGTGTAACATAGACACATGCAGGTGTAGAGGAGAAGGCCAGAAACATGATCTGTTATTGCGTAATATTGCAATTAGACACAGGACACCTCAAGCCAGGCTTCAGAAATGGGGCATTTACATAATAAAATAGTCAAAGGGTTACTTCAGGTCTTTTATAAACAACGCCAAATGATTTTAAAGAAATAACCTTGGAAACAAGAGTAAGCATACAAAATTCACGACTTCACTAGCCTCAGTAAGTAAGTGGACTAATGGTCCTTAGAAAATGTAGTAACCATCAGTTGCTTGCAGGATATCTCAAAGGCTTAGTGTGGTGCCACATTTTAGAAGAAAAAAACTGCTTTAAAAAACTTCTAAAGTGGTTAAGATGGCACCAAGACTTTTGGGACACCCAGTATATGGTTCTATGCGACTGGCTTTGTGATGGAATGGGATGGGATGGGATGGGATGGGATGGGATGGATGAGATGAGAAAGCAATATGGCCATACGTTGACTTAGAAAACCACAGATTAACATTAAATATGGTATGCCATATTTTGATTTATTTTGTTCAACATTTCCCCATGACATTTCCATCCAGCTGGGGTTTCCCTCATGGGGTTGACAGGCTGCACCCTGAGGAAGGCAGTGAGTTTGCCACCTCTAGCATGTGAGCATGGAGAGCTGGTCTTGGAATCAAGGAGAATGAAAATCACTAACATGCAAACAGCCCTTTGAGGAGAGCACTTACCTGGGTTCTCTCATTTGATCCGTATAATAGCCTGGTGATGTAGGGACTAGGTGGAAGGAGCCTTAAGACCTATCTCTCACACATACAGGCTATTTGACCCCATGCAACCTCTCACCCCCCAGGATACTATGGAAGACTAGAAATCACAGTATCATTTCTAAGCTGCACAGATAAAGGGAGTTAATTTCCTTACCCAGAGTTCCCTGTACTAATAAATTACAGATCCAGTCAAAAATAATAATAATAATAATAATAATAATAATAATAATAATAATAATAAAGACATGAGGGAGGCAGAGTGGGAGCATGGAGCACCGTGGACCTAAGACTGGAGGCTGGGGATCAAATCTGACTGTCATTTACTAGCTACAAGACTTTGGATAATTCCCTTAACCTGAGCCTGAGTGACGGGACGATGGTGATACTGGCTGCATTCTCCTTATAAAGCAGTGTGAACCCTTAAAGAATGATGAAAAATGGGAATATTTTATCTACATGTATTTGGAAAACAGCCAGAAATCATTTAGCACCATGTCTGCGGAAGGTAAGTGACAGAGCCAGAGAAGACTGAAAACCAGGGGAGGTGATAAAATGAGACAGGGAGCGCTGCCAGGCACTCTGAACAGAGTGTCCAAAGAGGAAGCCTCAGAGTGGGGAGACCAAGTGGGAAGTAAGATCTTAGCATTGGGTGAGGGCTTCCAAAGGTCACAATCACAAAGGGGAACCTCATCCCCCCACACCTGGAAGGCCACCCCCTCACCTTGGCCTCTGGGCCTCCCCAGCTTCTTTCAAGGTCCCAGCTACAACCCACCTTCTCCAGGAAACTTTTCCCAAAACCCTCCCTCTGGTGATTGTCTCCTGTATATATCATACACATTTATAACATGCCATCTCCCCATTAGACTGTGAGCTCCTTGAAAGCAGCGATTGTCTTTTGGCTTTTCTTGTATTTCCAGAGCTTGGCTCATTGACCAGCACATAGTAGTCACCTACTATGTGCCCGGCACAATAATTGGCATTTTATATAGCACCTACTATGTGCCAGGCACTGTGCTAAGTTCTTTACAAATGTCCCCTCATTTGTTCATCACCACAACCCTGGGAGGGAGGTGTTATTACTATCCCCATTCTACAGATGAGGCAACTGAGGCAGATAGATATTCAATAACTTGCCCAGGGTCATACAGGAAGTAGCTGAGACTAGATTTGAATTCACGTCATCCTAACTCCAGGCCCAGCACTCAATCTACTATATCACCCAGCTGCCCCTGACATCAAAGAGTAAATTGGTGCAGTTGGTAGTAGAACGGGGATTGAGTCAGAACATCCCAGTCTGAAACCTGGCTCTGCTGGGACCTCAGACTAGTCACCATGATTTGACATCTCCAAGCCTCAGTTTTGACTTCTGTGAAATGGGGATCCTCGAATCACTTACCTACCTCACAGGGTTGTTCTGACAAAAGCACTTTGTAAACCCTACCACTTATTCCACTGTGACCTTGGGGCCAGACATTTCACTTCCCTGGGCCTCCGTTTCTACATCTGTAAAATGAAGGGCTTGGGTCAGATAGGATCTGAGATTTCTTCTGGTCCTAGATCTGTGATCCCATTCTCCCACTATAAATATTGAAGCTGTTATTAGGATGCAGACCATCTACTGGTGAATGAGCTCCATTATTAACAGCTCACTATATAACCTTGGTGAAGTCACTTCTCTTTCTCAGCCTCAGTTTCTCCATCTGTAAAATGTGGGAGCTAACTTGTAGTTTGAAAAGAAGTTAAAGGTCATGAGGACAAATCCTGACATTGGCACTCACTAGCTGTGGGACCTCAGGCAAGGTAGACTGAATTAAATAGATGGACGGACGGACAGATGGATGGATGGATGGATGGATGAAGATAGAGATAGATGAATAGATGAATGATGAATAGATAGATGAATAGATGAATGATAGAGATAGATAGATAGATAGATAGATAGATAGATAGATAGATAGATAGATAGATATAGATAGATAGATGGATGAATAAATGGATGAATAGATGGATGGATAGAGATAGCTATAGATAGATGGATGGATGGATGAACAGATGGATGGATAGATAGAGATAGAGATAGATGGATGGATGGATGAATAGATGATGAATAGATAGATATAGATGACAGATAATTACACATACATATATATAATATGTGTTTGTGTGTACATATATACATATATGAAAATATAAATTACATTTCTTTATATATACATATAAGCTATCTTTATGAGTCCTCCCATCCTATGATGTCATGAACTCCAAAATTAGTTTCCAAATCCTAGTTTGACTTAAGGTACCAAAATCTAATCTGTAAAAACAGACAGAGCCTAACATTTTGGGAAGAAACAATCGCTGTCTGTGACAAAATAAATACTGGTCAGTCTGGACAAATACCAACTGGTTGGCGACTGTAATTGTGCCTTTGTATCACACTCAACCTTGTGTGGAACATGCCGAGCAATAAACTAGCCCCACCCCCACTCCCAAAGCCCAGACAAGGCAGGCATTATACCCTGGGAAATTACAGTCAATTACTAGGTTAGTCACCAGAGAAAAAAAGAAAAGACTAACTCTCATTTATGTAGTATTTTAAGGTTTGCGAAGCACTTTATAAACATTATCTCATTTGATCCTCACAAGAACCCAATGAGGTAGATGCTATTATTACCCCCATTTTACAGAAATGAAGTGCCTTGACCTGGGTCACATAATTAAAAAGTGTCTGGAGCAGAATTTGAATCCAGATCTTCCTGGAGCCATAGCCAGTATTCTACCTATCATGGCACGAAGAGCAAACCAAGGTCAATCGGTAGATCCACAAGCATTTACTAAGTGCCCACTATGTACACTAGGCCCTGGAATTAGAAACACAATGAGTGACACAATCTTGCCTCCCAAGGAGCTTACATTCTACCTGAGGGCAGATCCTGTGGAAGTGAGGAGCTAAGGAGGGCTCCAGAGGGTCATCAGGGACCAGGCAGACCATGGTGTCCCCATCTCTGGCCTCCCCAGAATTTATCCCAGCCAGAGCTGAGGCCGAGATAGCAGCTTGAGCTCTTGCTCACTGCAGGTATCCCCAGATAAATCAGAGCCAGGTGGAGAGACCAGGGCAGAAACCCCTTCTCTACCTAGCATCAAGAGATTTAGAGCTTGGAGGGACCTTACCAATATCTCGCCCAGGGCTTCCAAACCTGGAATCCAGGAACTTCTTTCTTTTAGATATTTTGATAACTGAATTTCAGTAGAGTTGCTTTCCTTTATAATCCCGTGTATCTAATTTTATGCATTTAAAAATATGATTCTGAGGAGTCCAACTCCCTTGTTTTACAGACAAGGAAACTGAGGGTTAAGGGACTTGCTTAATCACACAGCTAATAAGTGTCTGAGGCAGGATTCAAACTCAGGTCTTCCAGACACTGAGTCCATCTTTCCATGTATTCCACCAGTAGGAGAAATACAGAAAACAAAAGAATTCTCCTCCCTCAGGAACTTCAGACAGAGGCACCAGGACCACCCAGAGCAGAAAGAGCTATCAGACATAGAATTCCAAACTCAGAGAATGTCAGGGAAGGGATCTTAGAGAGGAGAATTCAGAATGCCAGAAGTAGAGGGGAGGGCAGAATAAGGAATGCCAAATCTGGAAGGAACATTTGAACAAGACCGTCAGAATGGGCAAGGGGTCTTAGACCATAGAACATCCCACCCAGGGGGGACAGACTGTCAGAGCAGGGAACAACCTTTTATCCATCACCACAGCCATTCTGCTCATTTTACAGCCAAGGAAATAGAGACCGAGAACGGTCAAGAGACTTGACCAAGGTCATTAACCAACTGGTCATTGACAGAGCCAAGACACAAAGCCAAGTCACCTGATTCCAAATTCAGTGTTTTTTCTATCGCTCCCCACAATGTCCCATCCTGGACCCCCACCCACCCCTCCCTACAAAAGCAGACTCTGGCCAGAATGTCTCCCAGAGACATCATCACATGGCTGGCCAGCTGTTCTTCAGTAGGGAATGGAGCTCCTAGCAAATCCAGCAAGAAAGAGCCTCTCTTGCTTACGCCAAGAAGAGAAAAGAACCAGCTTCATGAAGCTTCAGGGTCTA